CCCATGTGATATGTTTTGTTCCATCTATTCGTGGCTGTAGCCGTGGTTTCCCCACATTTTTCCAAGGACAAGAATCCTGGCTCACGAGCACGGAGGCTTAGAGGTCGTGATTTTGATCATAGCTACCTGCAGCTGCAGGATGCTGCAGGATCTTTCAAAAAAAAGCGGCAGATTTGCCAGGCATCATTTGGTCAGGGAAACTTCAGTGACCTCGCCATACATGATGGTCTCATATAGCGTTTGGTAATTTAACATAGCCATAGACAATGGTCCAAAAGCATGGATGATGAACCCCTTTTTTAAACATTAATTAATTAGTAGCATGGAGATTTTCCATAGCCATATCAAATAACCAGGGGATAACGTTCGTGATTTTTTTAATGGTCCATTATAGCCATTTGATGTCCTGTTTTAACCACGTTGAATCTCATTTTTTGCTGCTGAAAGCAGCATGTTTCGAAGCGCCCGTTCAATCAGCATGAATTTGCGTGCTACAATTGGCCAATAGTACTTGATTATACCATCGTGATATATGTTAATCCTATTGTCCTTGAAATCCTATTTTGTTGCTGATTGAATGAGCAGGATCGATCCAAAACCATGGACTTTTTCCATTCCAAAACCAAGGCTCACGAGACCTCAGAAATCTTCCGGGAGATTGCGGAAGCTTACGAGGCACATGGAGTTGTGGCAAGAAAACCCGAATTATCCTCTGGTAAACACAAAAAGCTATTGAACATGACCCATTTAGTTCGTTGATTTACCCATTAAAAAGTTGTGATTTTCCATAGTTTTTTGTAAACGTTGACCAGAGGGTACCAGTTTTCTATGTTTACCCACTATTCACCCACTATTAACCAACTATTGACCACTATGGAAAACCACTATAAATGGCTATTTTCCATAGCTTCAACAATTTGGACCCAAAAATTATGGATTCAACCAACAAGACATCAATCATGGGAGGGAGCTTGGAGGACATGGGGCAACTCATGATGATTTTTTCGCCTTGTTTTTACTGAGGCTTTGCGAAAATTCTTTGAGACTACTTAAGTGAAGCAAAAAAAACGAATGTTGTTAAACCAATAATAAACTACCCATTTGGGAATGGTAAACATACCACCTATAAAAATGGTGATAATTGGGGGATGGTTTATTATTGTTTTAACCACATTAATCTAAAATAATTAGTTAATAAAATGATTGGCTTAGATAGGATGGGATACTGTAGGATACAAGCTTAAAATTAGGATACAAGCTTAAAATTGGGGAATATGGCAATAATAAATTCTTCATATATATATATATATGCCTATTTATAAGATATTTTTGGTTGCCATATTTAATTACCCGCGTGTATGGCAAAATATGGCAGCATTATTGATCCAAAATTCTTCCTCGAAATTCCACGAAAAAATATTCTTATCGGTCCTAAAAGATTTTTATTAATCATCAATTCAAATACAAAAATTTTGTTAATTTGTTAGAAATATATTTTTTTCAGGCAAATAACGATAAGTATTGTTTGCTCAGAATTGGATTTTAATGGAATTTTGTAGACTTGCAAATATTATAGGAAATATATTAGAATTAACCATATTTACCTCAGCCTACATGTATTTATAGCCCACTAATAATTACTCGCAAATTTATATTATTAAAAATATATGCGAATAACAATAATTATCTGATTTTATTTTTTTTATGTTTATTATTATTTTGATCAAATTAGGCACCTAAATCACCCTTATTAATTTTATAATCGATTATAAAAAACCGATTTGCCACCATATTGCGTTGAAATTACTTAAATTACGTAAATTATTTTGGTAATTATAGTTTTAAATAAAATAATCTTGAATGTATTGATATAATTAAATCGGTTATTATTCCATATATCCGAGG